AATCAGAATTGCTCATACGCTGGTCTCACATTCATGTGTGCTCATTTCACTCTGTGCTTTTGCATGAACATGTCTTGAGTTTTGTATATTCTCGTATATTTCTTAAGAGCGTGAAGTCATGAGATGTTGAGTTCCTCATTTCTTGGAACAATGACTTTTTTTCTGATTCTCTAGAGAAAGCAGCTTCCCAGCAACAACCCTGGACTCAAAAGAATCTGCATTGCAAAACACTCATACTCACTGTTCTGCTACAATAGTTACGTCTGCTTAGATTTAGTGACAAAACTGGGTTTTTCATACGCTATATAAAGTTGTTTTAATTCAATCGTGCATGTTGCCTTTATCAGCATGCGGCTTTCTTTCGCTAAATGTCGCCGTTTTGTGGAAACAAACAAGAGTCAAAAGCAAAAAACAGAGAGAAGAATTGAGGAATTGGTCACATTGTTGTCTTCACTCATCATCTTTTCTCATAGAGAGGTGTGAAAAGTATTTGCTGACAGGAAGTATCAGGGCTAAAAACAAAACGCAAGAAGGGTCAGCTCATTTCTTTATAACAAACTGCAGAGCTGATCTCGGTAAACGACCTCGAGTTCGATACTTTTTGAGCGCTAATGATTTTATCTGTTAAAGTTCGTTCTGGTTTTGACGGGTTTTTTTTTTTTAAACTAATTTTGAGGTTCTTATCGGCTTCCATCTTTGTTGCATGAAAGTTCCTCAAAAAGAAGTTTTAAAATGACTATGTACTGCGAATATCAGCGTTTATGAATGCGTAAAGTCCGTGCAAGTTGGGAAAAAGAGAAGCACAGAGACTTTCACAGCCCAAGCAACACAGCAGGAAGGTAGAAATTCATCTAAGCAAAAAAGACTATTTTAAAAATTCTAATTACAGCTTGAAAGAAAGAAAAAAAAACACATCGATGCATTAAAGCTTCAAATTTCACTACAAAAAAAGACTATGAAAATAGTTGTAAAATTACCATAAATTAAATACTTAAATGAAATAAATAATAAAGTGGCAAACAATTCACACATAAGTCACTTAGCAAAACCTAATTTCTTTAATGTAAATTCTGAGTTATTATTTTGGGACAGAAGTTCAGATGGATTGTGACCCAGACTGGAGGAATAGAATAGAATTCAACTTTATTGTCATTGCACTGTCACATGGACAAAGCAACGAAATGTAGTTTGCATCTATCCAGAACACAGGATATAAATATTTATAAACAGTTGTACAAAGATATAAACAGAGAATAATAACGTGCTATAAATGTTTTGTACAAATATAAACATAAATATGAGAGCTATGTACATATTATACAAATTACACAGATTATACAGAATATACAGGAATATGAAAAATGGATTGTGTATATATATATATATATATATATATATATATATATATATATATATATATATATATATATATATATATATATATATTAGTTGTTTTATAATACAGGATAAATAATGGCAAATTAGATTTACAGATTATATAAAAGAGCTTATCACCAGTGTTACTAATCTTCACAAGCCGCCATTTTGAATTTTACCACAACTTCGTTTGAACTTTTCTGAGTCTCTTTTACAAGGTGAAAGAAAGAAATGCTTATTTGATCCTGCGTCATAATGTTCTCTTTAACTTACACCAAAGAAGCAGCTTATTCATTGAGGATAACATTGGCCTTTTACTTGCCAAGCAGCTAGCTTAAGCTAATGCTAATGCTGCTTATACTTATAGTCAACATTCACTCTTCACCAAAGAACTGCTCAACGTGAGAGATTTGTAGTGTTACATAAAGAGTTCAAATTCAGTTCCTTTCTTTTTCAAAACTATATTTAATGTTTACTTGTGTAAATAATCCACTTTTGTGTAACGTCAAATTCTGTTGTGTCTGTAAAGTAAATATGTTTTCTTCTATGCATCTCCTAACTTAGTGTATCTGCATTGGGTTGTGCAAAGTGGGTAACGTCATGGTTTTGTTTCGTCCATCCGAAAAACAATTTTTCCCTATAAGGCCATTTGTTCTTCCTCGTCTTTTAAATTAAATATAGTTCATTTAAAACTTTTTTAGAGCTAACGATGCTGTTCCAAATTCACAGCCAATATGTATTTAGTCAGAGGCCAGGATTGTTTGTTTTTTTTTCTTTGTTTTGTTCTAACATAACTCAGATTGTGTATTTCACAGCATTTTCCTACGGTTGCATGATATCTAAATGTTCTTTTTGCATTTTCACCCTGATTTTTTTATGAAGTTCATCTCACATTCTGATTAAAAATAAATAAAAAATATTCTTTTACCTTTTCTAACTTTGTGAAACTGTTCAGCTAAGTCGGGACAAAATCATCCTGCAGCCTCTGCTAGAAATCTGAAAAAGGGATTTGAAACTTAAAAAGTTTAACCTGTGACGTCACTGGAAGGCTTAGCAGGGAAGACTCCAGCCGATTTCCAGAAAACAAAAAAAAAACAAAAAATGCGTTTAAGAAAGCAGATCTGAAAAACATCTCTGTCGTGCTGCAGTTTCTAATTTTGGTTTTGAGGAATTAATATTTCTGCAAAGATTGCTTAACGTGCTGCAAAGATCCAAGTCTCAGTTCAACTCTTTTAAAATAAAAAATGCTGTTCTCCGCTTTGGTGCTTCTTCATCGCAACGCACGAAACGAGTGCAAGCACTGAAAACACATTCTACTCGAGGTGTCATGAGCTGGTGAATGTGTGAATAACGTGAGCCGGTAATGACTGTGACAGTCCGGTTATTTCACTTCTGAGATGAACGATAACAGAACCAAAAGCGTTAGTAGCAGGACAATCTGACTCAACGGTATTGGCTGACTAGAAAGAGTCACGCAAGATAAAGGAATCTGCTCCATCTGGCGCACATTTCTATGGGGGAAGTTATAGCAAACCTCACAAATGTAAGCCTTTTTGGTTCAAAATATTGTTACATTTCCCTTACAAAGATTGTTTTATAGTAAATCCCCAAATTGCTTCATGATGATGTAGCCTGCTTTTTCCACTTTAGAAAAAAACTGAAATGAAAATGTGGGTAAAATAAAGATGTGTATCTTCTGAATAGATGCATAGTTTTGTATTCATAATTTTAAGAAGGATTTAACGACATCATGTTTGCAGATGGACTTCAAATGTCCTTATTTATCAATAGCTTAGCATGTAAATGGTGTCTCATTTTTGCCATGGAGACTTGATGTCCTCCCCCCCAAGAATATTTATTTATTTATTACTTGTTTATTCTTATTTTCCTGTTGAATAAATGTTTTGAAATTAAAAATTGGAGGCTGTGAGATTGTGCTATTACAATACAAGATTAAAGAAGCTTAATTGTGGCCAGACTAATAAATTCACCTGTTTACATCACAATCTCTGTCACACACAGTTATCTGTGTGTTAGCCTCAGTAAAATTAAAGAAAGTTCTGTTTTATAGCTGATTTTTATTTTTCCATTTTCAAGACCCTATTTTTTATTACAAAAAAAAAAGAATCGTTTCCGCTCTGATGATTTTTTGATCCTTTCAAGATTTGAATAATTTCCTTCATTGAAGATGTGAAACCGACCGGAGAACAAGTGGGCGTGACGCGCACTCTTTGACACTGAATGAACACACTTTGAAGAGGCGTCGATTACGCCTACCTCCTGCTCTCGGGTTGGAAATATCTGAAGTGGTTCGGGTGAGACAAAAAAAAAAAAACACTGTAAAAGAAAAACAACTCTCCCTGATCACATGTCAGTCAGTGTCGTTGGTAATATCTCCTGAGTGTAAACATATGGTAGCACATCCTGGCAGAGTTTCAGTTGCATGTGGCATGAGCCACATGAATGATACACGCTGCCATCTCAAAGAAATGCAGTCGGTGGTTGGGCGTTTTTACTCACAGCTTATCTTAAAAGTCCTGCAGATTGCGATCTATAACCTACTACGTGCTTGTGCACCGACAAACGGCTGAGCGACGTTCCAGAAACAACGCATCAGGTGCACCGAGGTTTTAGGGTTTTCAGGCGTCTCCTCAGCAAAGCAACCGATTGTGCCTTAAAGACAAGCTGACGTCTGGACAGAAAGGGGAAACTGAAGCAGTCGCACAGGAAACTCCCACAGAGTTCTTGTCAGCGATCATAGGGAGCCATCAGACGAGAAGGAAGGAGTGACGACTGTCGGACAAAAGGAAAGGTGCTCCACAAACAGAAAAACCAAGTAATTGGGTGAGTTTTTTTAATATTACAATATATTCAGGTATTCATGCAGTCAGATCATAGATGACTATTACTGTATGTGATAAATGAAACCTCGTATTAATTAGTGAAACGAAATATTTCTCTCCATTGGGGTGGATTAGATGATGAAAGGTCTCTATGTTATATAGGTATAAAGTGAACACTAATAAATGTTTTTTTACTATCTTCGCCTCTCTTCATTCATCTCTGCCTGATGGTTTCGCGTCAGAAAACGCTGCAAACATCAACAAGTTTTTTTTTACTGGATTCCTGATATTCCCTTTGTGGGATTTCCCCCAACCTGCTACAGTAAACAGCTGCTAAAAAGGTAAAGGTCATGCCGAGAGACCCTCCAAAACCCCCCATTTACAGAGCGATATTGTGACTTTTTCTCTGAAACTATTTGATCTTTATGCGCCGTTTCCCCTTTTTCAAGCTGAAAATTTAAAGTGTTTTTCTAAACGACTTAAAATTGTCTCAATTACAAAATATAATTGCGGGGATTCGCGGTGTTTGTTTGAGTCCTTGCATCACGTTTCGCTAAATCAAAGCGATTGAGGTTTTAAGCCGAGTCAAAACATACACAGATGGTTCGATAAAAGATTTTATTATCTTTTTTTTATGATTGATTACAGTGGCAGAAGGATTCCATTTACTTGTTTTCATTTGTACATTTTTCAGTAAATAAATTATTTTTTAATTACATATTTTAAAAACGTGATTTTTAAAATATGTTCATTTCCGAAAAACACAATAACAGAGACGATCATTTTTGTCTTGTGGCTCGAGGTTTTCTGTTGTCTTTCCCTTCTTGTTCATTTGAGGTTGAACTATAATCTTATTCGCAAACGCCTGCAAAAGTAAAATTTTGAAATAATGCCATGTATTTATTTATTTATTTATTTACCTTTCTCATGCCAGTGTATGTGCTCCCTGAAGCATATGCTTTTTTTCTTTTTTTTTAACTCTTTATAACATGTGAGAAAGACAGATAAGAGGAAGCCGGATGTGTGGCCACATCCCACAAAAAGCATACAGTCAGAGCGGAAGATTACTGGTGATGTGGTCATGAATCATCTCTATATTATTTCTAGTAAATGGACTGTTTCTCTCTCTGTCTGTCTGTCACACAGCTACGCTACTTATACATATACATACATATATAAAAACACCAGCCTCACCTCTGAGGCAACAGCGCCTTGATGATGTGGAAGAAACGCAGCTGATCTGGATCACTGAAACGAAAAGAATCGAGGCTCCGTGAACCCTGAAGGGATGGCTCTCCTCCAGGTCTTGATGTGGTTGGTTCTCCCGACTCGGGCTCTCCTCTCCGGTTTGGACCACTGTGGCGTTCATGACAGCAGCAGCAGCAGCTCAAACAACAGTAAGTATCCGTCTGCAAACAAATATTAATAACAATGGATTAAAAACTGCCTACCTTTAGGTTGACAGTGACGCACAGTAAACATAACTTATTTAGGGGTTAATTATTGTAACTTGAGTTTATCTGCATGCAGATGTCATTACAAGACGATTGAAAAGCCTGTATTGAATTACATATAAACAGAGGTGGGTAGAGTACCCAAATACGTTAGAGTGGCACTGTTTATATATTTCTACTCAAGTAAAAGTAACAAGTAGTCGTTTGAGAAATGATTCAAGTGAGAGAAAAAAAGTATTGGGTAAAAATGAAACTCGGGTATTGAGTAACTGATCAAAACACCAATCATTTATATTTTTAAATTGCATAATCAGACAGACAAAAATATAAAGTTATTTGGAGAAGACCAGAACCGAAATGATCCAGACAAATAACATAATTACAAAATAACAAAAACAAGTAAAAGAAACATTTTTTCAAACCAATTTCTATCAGCATTTAAGACTCAAACATTTAAGAAAAACTGCAGGTGTGTGTCTGTGTCTGGTTAACTTTGGGTTAAAATATGTTTGTTCTTCATTCAGTGAAGCTACTCATACTGTAGACAAACATCTTACTCATATAAGAGCAGCAATACTTCATGGTAAAATTTCTGAAGTAAAAAAAAGTACAGTAAAACGTTTTTTTTTTTTTTTTTTTTTGTAACCAAAACGCTACTCAAGTAAATGTAGATAATTACAATCCAATTCCGGATAAAAACCTTTTCAGGGTGACGGTTAAGGGGTCTTTATTTCCCTCATATACCCATTTGGGCAATGGCGCATCTCGTGTGCTGGAACCGGTGATTTGGCCAGGGCGCCAAAAGGACTAGGACCGCCTCTTCATTTGGGATCGCAACCTTCCAAAATTAGAAATTTCCCCGAGTCATTGATCATTAGCAATAAATTGCCTCCTTTGTCGTTCTGCAGTGTCGCCCTGGCTGCGGTCCTTACAATGCCACAATGACTACAAGACCCATGTGGACTGCAGATGGAAAAAAACGACCAACGCGACTCTGCAGGTCTGGCTGAGACGAAACGATGGAAGCAGGTGAACAGAGCAGCCTGGACAAGAGAAACATTTATAGAAGTTACCTCAACTCTAACAGATTGGTGTCTATATCTACGCAGTGAGCTCTGTGTGCCTTTTAAAGACGAAAAAACAACAGAGGACGGAGTCGCCCAGTGCAGATATGAAACGCTTGTGCTTGGCATGGGAGTCAGCCATACCGTCTTCTTTGTGAACAACCAGACAACGAGCCTCTGCTCGTCTTCCAAACACACGTCTCTGGATCTCGTTCAGCACCGTGAGCATCAACTAGATGTACAGCAGTAGGTCATGTAGAGCAAAACGAAGCCTCGCAGTGATGGTGGTGTTGTTTGGTGGTGTTGCACAGTGAGGGCACGTCCGCCTGGCGGTCTGACTGCGTCTGAGGACAGCGATGGCAGCTACCGGCTGAAGTGGTCCAGTCCGTATCCTCCATCGTCCTCCCTGAACCAGAACCTCTCGTATCAGCTCAGCTTCAGGACGCAGGTCGAGGACGGGTGGACTGTAAGCTACAAACACAACAAATCACCACGTTAATATACATTATATATATATTCTCTGTGCAACAGGAGAGTGTTTAGTCATTTTGGTTGTTTTTTACAGTAGAAAAAAGCGGCACACTAAAATGGCCAATACTTCAACAACCACACTATTTATTTAACTGAATAAAACACATGAATTTGTTTGTTACAGCCATTTAGGGCAAAGGCTGATTTTTCTAGTCGCACACCTAGCTTGATTAGCTTAGCGTAGCTTAGCTGCAAACAACTCTATTTTGACCTCTATGCTAACTCCAACTTATTTATCGACTTAAAGTGAAAATGATTTATTTCAAAGGTTGAACTAAGTACGATATGAGACGAACAAACTGACTGGCCGCTCTGGTGGGTGTGGCCAGGCAGGCCGACCAATCAGATTTAAAGGGTAACAGGAGCCACGCCCCCCTCCAATCTGACAGCCAACTCTGTTGCCTACTCATAACAGACAATAATGAGACATAGTCAGTGAGTCAGTGCTATTTAAATTTTGTTTCACACCTCTCTACTCAGACAGAGGCTGTCGCAGACACCAGCGTGAAACTGGAGCGGCAGAAGCTGCTTCCCGGCCGTAGATACGAAGCCAGAGTGAGAGCCAGGGCCGGCGTGGGTCGGTGGAGCGAATGGAGTCCTGTGGCCAGCTGGAGAACTGGAGATGGTGCGTGAAGTAAAGTAGAAGCATAAATCCCCTTTGAACTTTTTCCACACTGTCACTTTGCAACCAGAAAACTTTGATGTTCACACTGCACTACGGGGGAATGTTTCTGCCATCATTCGAGAGCGCACCTTTTCAGTCTGAAAGCAGGATGTCAGTCTGATGTGTGGTCCGACAGCTCTGACGTGATCTCCAAGCATTAGTGTTAGAAATGCACACTGAAAACTAACAGATCATTGGTCCAGCACTGACATCGAGGGACTAAACGTAAATTGAACTACATGAACGTTTCTCCACCCATTTCATCATGCACTACTTTCTGTTGGTTTACTGCATAAAATCCCAGTAAAATTATGCAGTAAGAAACAGTTTTGCTTTCTTTTCCAGCTTCCATCTTCTGGGTCTTTTCATGGTTATGGGAACTATGTCTGGTGTTTTCCAGCTGTGTGGGCTCACTATCGTTTTCCTTCCCTTTCACATCAGTTCCCTCTTTGGACTGTGTTCTGGACGGAGAGAAGGAAGTGACGTGTAGCTGGGAGGTGAGCAGAGAGCTGGCGTATCTCGTCACCTACCAGCTGACCTGTCGGCACGACCCGACAGCGCAGTAAGTCGAATTAAAAGCCATAGTCGCGCCCGCTTTGTTCTGCCGCTTCTGAACTGACGTGAACTTCCATCCTTTAAAGGTTTGAGGGATGTTGCAGGAACCCAGCTGTGAGTTCTGACCCCAGAGGGACGGAAGTGAGGTACAGCTGCCGTCTCACCGATGTGGACCCTGAGCGTCTGCAGCTGAAGCTCAAGCCGGCACACAACGCTAAGACTTTTGAAGCGTACAAACACAGTGAGTACAGAGAACCCAGAGGAGGTGAGAAGTGGCGGCGGTGGCGGAAGTCCCTCTGTGCCTATCTGAGCATATCAGGCTAAATTAAAAACACACAAGGGGGTGATAAGACCACAGGAAGAAGTGCAGAAAAAACAGCAGTTAACCAGGTCCGTGCCATGGTTGTACAGCACCCCCCAGTGTTTGATTTGTGCTATTACCTCTAAATCAGTACATGGGACTCTGATCAGCTGGATAACTTGAGATTTAGTCGCTAATAGGTCACTATAATGCAGCGCTTCTCAATTCCAGTCCTTAGGCTTTGCTCTGCATGTTTTAGATGTGCCCCTATTTCAGAACAGCTGATCCAAATGATTGCATAACTCTTCTGCAGCCATCAAGTACTGCAGAAGCCTGTTAATCACTCAGATTCAATCCAGGTGTGTGGCAGCAGGGAAACACCTAAAACATCCAGGGCAGCGGGGCCTGAGGACCGGAATTGAGAAGCGCTATTGTTAAATACCGACCCCTAGTGGACGTTTTTAACTATTACATTCATGTTTTTTGTTTTGTTTTGTTTTTTCCTTTGAAAATATGCCTCTATTATATTATATGATGCACATAAAAAAATGGTGGGGGGGGGGAGTCACAAACATAAAACATACAACCTAGTAGTAGGTGATGTGTTTTGCAAACACATCATGCCCCTTTTTCGCACCTTGTCAGATCACAATCACAATCTGATTTATTTTAATAGTGCTTTGTGATAGACGTCTGAAACATAACATGTTGATTAATAACATAACATAATGAGCAATTAGAAGAAAAATAGTATACCGTTTTCAAGTAAAAACTGTAAAAGTGCTGCATGCATGTGGACTTAGGTGTCACTTGGGAAGACAATTATGTACTATTTAGGGTGAAGAGAGGAAAAGTTGCTGATTTCTATAGATGTAAAAAATTGCGAAACTTTTTCTTCCACTTAATTACAAAACCTTTGCAAAACACCGCGTACAACGTAAATGGTGGGGTTATGCAAAGTATATTCTCAAAAGAGCGAAAGAAATGGGAACCACTTGTATGAAAAGATCTGATAAACCCCATGTTTTGACTCAAGCGACAAACAGTTATTTTATGTTACAATTTTTCCCCCAACAGTCCGTACCAATTCACCAGTGCAGGTGAAAGTGAGGGAGAAGAACGGTGACTGGGTGGTGGAGTGGTCTCCACCCGCTGCGGCGGCTACAGAGCTGTTGTACCAGGTCTTGTATTACAGGACCATGGGTCAGGTGAGAGGATTTCAAGCCTCTGTTTTTATTTTTCCGCTTTCCACTTCGCTGCTAATCACCGCAGCAGCTTTGGAAAACGGGCCCGAATATTCACAGGTTGTGCTTTTTATTTATTTCTGCCGCCAGGGATCCCCGGAGCTGCTGAACATTTCCAAGGGGTCCATGCAGGTGAGCATCCTGGGAACGTCACTGGTGCCGCTCCAGGACTACGAGGTGAAAGTGAGGTCACTGGTTGCCCCTGGACAAGGTTCTACCTACGAAGGAATCCCCTCAGAATGGTCTGAACCTGCGAACTGGACCTCAAATAAAGGTGCTTACAGTATTAGTGTGCACAAAGTTTTCCTGCTGTTTTGTGCTCTGAAACCCCCAATCCCCAATAAGCTTCAAATGACGTTATGAACAGGACCGCCTCTTTAATCTGGTTTCTGCTCCTCGACAGCCACCTGGTCCGTCTCCAGACTGATTTATGTCATCTGTGGCGTGATTGCAGCCACTGTCTTTCTGATTCTGTACCACACTTTTCCAGTTTGCCGGAAGTAAGCGCTGCTTTATGTTGACTGCAACGTGTGCAATGCAGTAAAAACAGAAGCCAGAATTGATTTTTAAATGTACGTGGTTTGTTTTCAATTAACGCCTGTTTATGCTTTTCACCATTAAGGGAAGTTGTGATGTGGGAGGACTCAGTTCCCTCTCCAGGCAAAAGCAAGATCCTGTCTGAGATCAAGGTGAGTGGATTATTTTCTTAAAGTGACTAGTAGTACATAATGTAAAAAAAAAAAAAGCATTTTCCACCTTTCCAGCTAAAACTGAAGAAATTTTGCAAATTTCTTCAGTTTTAGTTTTTTTTTTAAATTATGTTCATTATTGCGTCCAGCCACTCGAAAACTTAATTTTGGCTTTTTTGAGTCTTACTACTGTAATTTAGATCATTGTCCTGTTGAAGAACCAAGGTTTAACTGGACTAAAGGTTCTATACTGATGATTGGACGTCCTAAAAACATTTCTGCCGCAGAGCAGAATTCATGACACCATCAATTATGGCATGTCTTGAAGAAGCAAAGCCTCACACTACCAGCTTGTCTGACTGATGTGCATCTTCCTAAAATAATATTTCCCCTAAATCTTTGGGGATCATCGAGATTTCTTTGGGTAAATGCGAGATAGGTCTTTGTGTTCATTTTGGTCAGCAATGGTTCTGATCTTGGAACACTCCCATGGAGGCCAATTATGCCCAGTTATTGAATTGTGAACTCTGACCTTACTAGAGGTAGTGAGGCCTGCAGACCTTTAGATGTGTCTGACTCATTGATGCACTCTTTGAGTAATTTAACTTTCACCACTGCTGTTTTTGAACAAGTGTTTCTTTGTGAGAGCTGAACTAAGTTCTCCACCTTTTCTTCCGATTCAGTCTCACTCGTCCCCGACCCTCATGCAGAGCGAGAAGACGTCCATTTGTAGCGTGCAGCACCTCGACCGCGTATCGACCTGGTACGAAATTTCACACTTTACTCACACGACGCCACAAAAGTCTAGACAATGAATGCAGCGACAACTCAGGATGCATTCCTCTGTTGATAGCCGATGCACTCTGAGGGAGCTGATGAAATTGTGTACCTTTCTCCCCCTTGCAGCTCCTCAGAAGCCCTGCTTTGGCCAACCACGGGCACTGAGACGACGTGCGCCGATCAGAGCAGGAGTTGCTGGAACAGTGATGACCTCCCCTCCCCTCTTTATAAAGATCATGACTTGGACACGTCGTCCATGAGCTTCAGCGGGCCGTACATCTTTTGTCAGGTCAGCTACTTTCAAAAAAATAAAGAACAACAGAAACTGAATAATGAGGAAGTACTCAGCGTTTGTATAAGGCATCAAACGGAAACAATAAAAATGTCTTGAAAATCCAGCAAAACATGTCATGGACACTGCCTAAGCTGCTCTTTTATTAAGATCTATTAAGTTGTATTTCTTTGTGTTTCAGTTGAATCCTTTATAGAAAAGACATAATGTGAGACGGTAACTCGGTGGATTATAAGCCTGGCGGGCCACCAGGCTTTACTTGTGCCCTCACCAGGCTAAAAAGATTTTATGCATTTGAAAAAGATGCAAACATTTAATACCTGTTAATACCTGAACAAGTCCTGCTCAGGTATTAATCTTCCAATTTTCCAACAACATAATTATGAAGTGGTATTTTCAAATTTTCTGTCAACTTTTGACTCAAAAACACAATGGACCACTGGATCAATGACACCCAACCCCTGGGCTTAGCAAGTTTTCTGTAGCTTTAGAGAACAACATTATCCTGTCAGGATGCAGCAGGACACACCAAATCCCACCTCAGTGATTTGTGGGATTAATACATTTTTGATGGGAGCGTGTCAAAAGTCTCACACATGCTGAAAAATACTTTTTAACTTTCATTGGTTTCTGGCTTTGCTACAGTGTTCAAGCTAGCTTGTATGTATGAATAATAACCTGAGCTTTAGCTTCTGTTATTTTGGTGTCTGTTGTTCTACTCTACTATGTCCATAGACCTTTTTTTGTTGCCATTTTTGTTCTGGCATTTAATTTCAGAGCTAGCCTTCTGTCCTGTTAAGCTGCTACATCCTTTAGCCAGCAAATAACTGCGACACAAACAGTGACATCAGGGTTTAAAGCTAGCCGTCAAGAAAGTAGCAAAATGTACTTTGAAAAGTACTTACTGTCCACTTGCTTTGCAGCAGTTTAACGCGTTTGCGTCTATTTCACAGGGATCGGGACAAATGTCGATGGAGGTCCAGCAGGAAAAAGTCCGCGAAACAAAACCGGATGTAGCTGTGCCTCTCTTCCCGGCGCCATGTTCTCTCCGAGACAAAGATTACGTGTGTCTCCCCAACCGCTCTCTCTCTCGGTCCACAGAGGACCTCACGTCCCACTGCGGCTCGGGCCCGAAGTGGTACGACAGTCCTGAGCAGGACCAGCAGCACTTGGACGCCACACCGCGGCCTGCTCAGGCTGACAGCCGGTCCGGCTTCGGAGAACCCGCCGTGAGAGGTCAACCGCCTGATTACACGGCAGGGCCGCTCCCCTCCTGGCCTCAAGAGGGCGCCAACTCGGGATACTGCCGGCTCCCAACACCCTTCACTGTGACGTCACAGTGAAGAGCCGCATGCAAGAAAAAGTGATTGACTTTTTTTATGCTTCTACTTTATTTTAAGCTTTTCAAGCTATTAGAGGGGGAACAAGTATCTTGTTGTCGTTGCACATGTTTATCTCACAGGGTAAATAAAGTGTTTCATATCTACAAATATTCCAGGTAATATTCCACATATATATATATATATATATATATATATATATATATATATATATATATATATATATATGTGTGTGTGTGTTGTTTTTTTTTGTTTGTTTCTTTTTATTAATGTTTAGCTTTAGCATGATTTTCTGTAAACAAGCTGCCGCAAAGAGACGGAAGGCGAGTTAAAGTCAGAACATTGACCCTGTGACCTTTTTCAACATTGTATTTTCTGCACAGAGCATTTTAATTTCAATAAAAGTTAAACAGACACGCCAATAAGACGAGCTGGCATATTTACTGTCAACACTGTCTTCATTCAGATCGTAATCACACAAGCAAAATGAAGTTGTTTCTGTCAGAAGGGGAACCGTTTAATTTCAGATTATTATCTCTGGAGGCCTCAAAAAAAATTAAAGCAATAGTTCTATAATTTTTTGGAATGGCGATGATTTACATTTCACAGAAATTACGACAAGGGAAATCTCTGATCACATTATGTGATGGTTACTCTTTTCCTGTTACTAGCCTCACCATGTAATTGTGCAAAGTGAAAGTACAAAAAATATATATCTATTTTTTTTGTATTTTGCACAAATTTTTAATGTTTTATTTTTATTGTCAATCTAAAATTATTAATACTCTAGGGCAGATCAAGATTTTGATTAAGCAGACTAAGCAAAAATACATACATTTTGAAAACAAATGACTTTAGCAGGATTTTAGCAGTAGAAACTAGTTGTTAATAATTGAAGATAAATATAAAGGCACATCTGCCAGGGTATGAATAATTTGGGGCCAAAGTGAATGTTACAATGTTTATCAGTGTAAAATTTTGGAAAAGTTATCGGGCTCCTGCTCACTCCAGGATATGCCTGCTGGATCCATTTTCAACAGCGTACCGTTTATTTCACTGTATCCATGCCACACACATTTTCACTGTGTTTTCAAATTTATTGCTCTGCTCTTTTTTCCATCTGTTCAGCTTAATGGGGTTGCAGAAAGTTCAAGGGTTTGACAGTTTCTCGAGGCAGGAGCGCAGTAAGCAAGCAATGTGCAAGCGGCTCGCAAAAATAACCCGACCTCTTGAACCTTTCCACATTTTGTCACTTTCCAGTGAAAAACTTCAGTGCATTTCATTGGGGTTTGATGTGACAGTTTGGAATCCGGTATGAATTTAATTTGATATGCTATACGTATTTAAACACTAAACCTACGTCCACCACAAATAGCAGATTTATTGTGAAACATGGCATCCCTACAATAAAACACGGCCGTGGCAGCATCTTGCTGTGGTTATTACTTTCTTCACTTGGATCCGAGAATCTGGTCAGAGTTGTTTGGAAGAGCAGAATGGTTTGCATCAAACCTATTTATGTGTGTTTATTGCAAAAATACATAAAACACCTCTTATTATTTTCCTTCCGCTTCAGAATTATGCCCTTTAAGTTTTGGCGCGCAACTTAATTTTCCAATGAAATACATTTCATTTTGTAGTAATTCATGCAATGAAAAACAAAATACCTTTTCATAAAAACAACAGAAGGTTGGAATTTCAGGCATTCTGATGTCAACTTCCTGTGTTTCGAGCCCGTTCGAAGGTACAACTTCCTGTCCGATGGGACCGACGGGCAGTTTGACACCAACTACCCTGAGTCATCACGTTGCTGGTTCATATTTTACCCACACTGTAACCAAAGGGAGGATGAGTGGATTGTTTTCCTAGCAGGGTGGGCTTTTCCAAATTCTCTGAGCAAAACAGATTCCTTCATCTTAATCTCACTTCAAAGGGCCATTGTTTCTCCAGCCGTGGATGAAGGATGGATCCTTTTCATTTTCTCTTGCTCGTTTTAGAGATCTGAATCTAGTGAGTTGAAACACCAGGGCTTGATTTGAGGAGCGAAACGCAGGGTCTCGGCTTAATGAGAAGGTAGCTGCCGTGTGTGTTTGACGGTCCAGCGGAAAAACAGGAAAATAAAAGTACTGGAAGGCGTAGGGATGCTTGTGTAACCTCCTGCTTCCTCGCAGCTGTGCGTCAGGGAATCCGGGCTTGACCGAGGTCATGGAAAAGAAATATCCTTGAAGGTAGACTAGATCATTAGAGACATTGACGTTGGTATGATCAGACGAGTCACGGTGTGTTTATATAACAACTCCTGTGTCAACCACTGCATCTACGCTGTGTTTGTTGTGTAATTGTAACACCTTGCTGTTTTAGTATTGCTTGGATGCTCTTTCCCTGAAGCGCCCCACATGTTTCAACGCCTTCGTTTCACAAACAAGCTATGGCTCATGATTTTTTTGTTTTCATTTAACTTGGGGAGATTTACACCAATTTACATCTCCAATGTTTATTCTGTAGTTTATGGATTTCAGCTGAAGATAACGTTGAAAGGATCTGAGTTTCCAAGTGCAAACATCACGGTGCACTGAGAACGTCTTGACCTCAAAAGTTATTCATGTTATTTCTCTATTTAAAATATGTCTGTTGTAACTGGGATATAATTTTATTAATCTGGAATATATTGTCACCTCTCCTCTGATTTACCAAAACGTTTGGTCTACATGGTCGATTGGGTCAGGTTTGGATGTGACGGTGGTATACCTCAGGGATTAGTTCTGGTTTTCCTCTTTTTTCCATTGGCTTTCCCTCCCCATTTTCCAATTTATTCAGAACATTGGAGTATATCAGTTCATTTCCAATTGTTTGTCTTCCTGCATTTTGGCTGCACTGTAAACAATAAAGGTAGTAATGTGTTGGCAGGGAGGATATGAAGGATTTGTGAGCATTATCAAAAAACTGACAAACCATCAACCAAGATTCCCAAATGAGTAACAAATAGTGCAATCCAGCATTATTTAAAGTAATGCATGAGTGTCACCATGTCATTCCATTGGCTGTTTGATGTCAAGGTTCCAGTGTTGCTGAGACCTAGCGAGGTGTGTCGTTTTTCGAGGTCAATCGTCCATGACCCGCACCGTGTCTTTTGTCATGGCCTCTGTTTCCACTCTCACCGCTGCGGAGGCTGATCCCTGTTTGTGTTTGTCGCAGTCAACAAGCACGTCTCCACGCCGTCTTTGTTTGAAGTCCCCGGGAGGCGGGGAGCCGCACGGACACACATGGAAACACAGGCATCCCACCTCAATGCTAAATTTAGAGATAGCCTGGTGTTTAGAAGTATCATGAGCGTGTGAGTTTTTCTGTAGCACAGCCGGTTGAGTACCTGAATGGTGTAGAGAAACATTTGTAAGAAGAGCATCAGAATGCAGAGCAGATACCATTGGAGTTGAGCATCAGGGTTTAGGGGTTTTCCAGTCATTGCTCGTATGATTGCAATTGGACAGATGTATGACTTCTTGGCATGATGGTACATGTGCATAGCTGTGTAGCTCACTGCTGACTGGGGAACTTTTCAGGCCAAAAGAGTCAAGTAGGTAACTGTGACAAACAAACTACGAGGAGAGTGTTTGCCAAAGTTCACCTTCAGTTCCTAAGTCTCAACTTTTTCTCCCTCGTTCTCTTTCTCTCTTTTTCTCCGCTCTAGGCAAAAATCGTTGAACCCACTTGCGACTAAGCACTCACTTCAAGTAGGCGAGGTCAACGTGAGTGCATTACTCAATGCGATGCTTCTGGATACAAGATGTGCTTGCAAATACATAAATAATGCAGTTTAAATATTGACGCTCCAAGCAAGTGGCTGCGTGAACTACAAGTTTAAAGAGCATATGTCACGAGCTTTCAGAACCAGAAAACAAAACTGGATGGTACCACCTTCAAACATTCATATTCAATTGATTAAGAAACATGTTTCAGTGAGATTTAAAGTACCTTTTGGAAATAAAGTTGAAACAAATAAACTGTTCATCAAGCCTAACTTTCTGAGGTGGGTGGAAAATCACTGTAATGAACAGAAGGTTCGAAAGCTCCAGTTCCTGTGGTTTATCTATTTAAATATCATGGTAATCACAGAACGAACTGTGATTAAAGCTTTCAGAGAGGTCCAACTGAAAAAGGCCATTTTTCAGTGAATATGTTGAATTTATAATTTTTTCTTATCTAGTAAAGGTAGTGGCTAAGACGCAGCGCCCTTTAACAATACGTCCTTTTGATTCTGTATGCATAGGAAATCTTTATTGACACCCACAAATGGTTTTCTGTCAAGAACCTTTTTCTCCTAATGATACCCCTGAATGATTATCTACGATAAACAGCTACAGCTGTGGCAGTTTTTTTCTTGTAACAGAAACACGATTTCCAGCTCAATTTAAAGATTCTTATAATCATATGAAAATAGGCAAACATTTTCTTTTCACAATTGCATATATTAAAACAGACAGAAATAAGTAACAGTGGTAAATTGGCAAAAAGAACACATAGGCCGAGATTGTCAATAATTTAAGATGTTTGTCTGACGGTGGATTACTGGACACAGCAGTATGCTTATACTATGCTTATACAAGACACTGAAAATAATGGCAAATATTCACAAAAATAACAGGAAAATGTTTTAAAAGTGAAAATGAATAGCCTTCCTGGATTCGTCTCAAAAAAATTTAAAACAATGCGTTTCAACGTGTTACAGAAGAGTTTACGGAGAGCAGATTTATTAAATTTTGCAAGGTTCAATTTAGAGAGGAAAGGTTGAGGAAACATATTTCTGAAAATTTTCATCGAAATACCTTTGAGATAAATAACGGAGGTGCAGACGTGTACATACAGCACCACTAATTTAGACACAGAAAACGACCATTCACACATTTTCTGCACTAAGAAATTTAACACTGCATCTGACTGGGAGGTCATGGAGAGTTTGGGCACCATTTAACAATTTCTTCCTGTTTTAAGCCACAAATCCACAGAGATTTTTAGAAAATCTCAAGTCTCAGCATGTCGTCAGCATGGCAGTATTTCTACAGAACATTAATCCACAGTAACGGTAAAGACAAATAAATAAGAAACGTAGCGCACAGTCCGCTCACATGTATATCTATAGCATTGATCCTGCCCCAGAATTTGTGTTGGCACGCAGTTACTTACAAAACTATTCACACACCCAAACTTTTTCCACACTTTGTCACAGTAAGACCACAAACTGTGATCACTTTTATTCTGATTTTGTGCACAGTAATGAAGTGGAAAGAAATTGAAAGATTTTGCTTTAAAATACTTTTTTTCCATTCAAATCATATTTCTCTTTCAATCTACCTCTGAATTATGCCCTATTTTGTGTTTCTCTGTTATAGAATTTCAAAGAAATGACACTAAAGTTTGTGATTACGTCACAAAAAAGTGGAAACTAGCCAGGTTATAAATATGTTTGCGATGCGATTTAAATGCTGTTTTTGTTTGCTAGTCGTGTGTGTGTGTGTTACTCCAGTGTTTGCAATGAGTGAAATATAATTAAGTACGGTTAAAAAAAAAAAAGACCACTGTTGCTTTTGTGAGCTGATGATCGATATCACACTGAAAATTCTGCCCGTTTTGCAGCCTCATTATGATTGTCTTTAAGATTACGCAATTTGTAATTTTTAGCAAAACGGTTAAATCCACTTTTGTTAACGTTTTAACCAAATACGCTTTATATTTCACCTTGCCAGTGGTATTACAACTTCTTCCAAAGAAACCTCCCATACAGTCTTGGTTGTCCACATTGAAGTGCAGCGTCTCTCTTTCATGATATCTGGGCTTGGATCCACAGGAATTGCACTATTTTCCACAGTTCTACAGCGATGCCTCTTCGGTCCCACGCGGTCGCCGTGCCTGAGCACATCTTTGTCTGTCTTTGGGACTTCAGACTAGCAAATGTTCGGGGAGGGAAGCGTTCTCCTGAGCAGGTCCGGCCTTTGTTCATATTCCCTCTTTTGCCCTCGTGGTCCATCCAGGAATCGTTACGGGTTCAGCAGACAGTCGTTAGTAGTGTTACCGAGGAGATCTCACAGGACAACCAGGTTATTGACAAATAAATACTGAAACCAAAGGAGTCGTCTGGCTTCATCTTTGGACAATTCCCACCCTGCAACATGTTCTCCATGTGTCCCTGGAGGTAAAAACAAACAAAAAGGAAGACATGCTCAACATTTGCATTATTTTTCACGGTTCTACTTATAAGGTTAACATGGATTGTGGTCAAACTGAGACTTTATCACAGTAATCATACAAAAATGTAACAATATTTTTCGGTAACACTTTATTTGACGGGGTCATAACGATGAAAGAGTCTTAATGAATGTTTACGACGGCTGTCATTCGGTTGATAATCGCACTATTAATGCAAAGTCAAGACTTTTAATGGATATTTAATGTTTTAAAGTGTCATTATTTATCAAACGACGCTTAATAAACACAGTCATTGTCATTCATGAAGACTCCTTTATGTTTATAACAGGTGTTTTGTCGTGTTTATGACAGTGTCATGTCACTCTTATGCACATCCCGTCAAACGAACCATGTTTTTAAAAAATATATTTTTTTGCTGATTTGCGCCTTATTGGAAAAGCTGATTAATGAGTCAGGTTACTGAATTTGCTCAGGTGGCAAGCTTGCAGTCAGTTACTTGACATCATTATAACTTAATAGTTACATAATCAAAAGATTCAGTGGTTTTTCTTTGGTTTCTGCACCATGTAGTCAAGAGATATTTCCAAAAAGCTAAATATGCCTTTCTGCAAAATCTTTGTTTCAGCTGAGCAGTTTCTGCTTTGGGAAGGACTATTTTAGACAACCTTGATCTCATTAAAATGACTTCAAATGTATAGAGGAACATTTCTGACAACAATGAAACCTTCATACCAAACACAGATCTGTGCCCAGTCAGGATATACATCCATTTTTATTGTGCAGTCATCTGTGAGCTCACCTGGTTTTATTTCAGTCCTACATGAGCATGGCTCTCATTGCTGCCTTGCTGATCCGTTTGCGATTCTTCTTCATTCTTCTTCTGTGAGGGTTTGGACGAACCGGGAGCCTGGGGCCGGTCGGGGCCGGTGCTTTCTGCGTGGTAGTTGTGGATGTTGTTGTCTCTGTGAGATTGGAAATAACATGAAAAAAACCCCAACTGATTACGTTCTCTGTTATGAACGTTTAAATAATGTATCGTTTGATCTTGTTTTTTCAGTCAAAGTCTACGTTGTGTTTCTTTTGTTCTTCTACCTGGTTTCGGTGTCGTCGTATGCAGATGATGGTGCTTCCTATGCTGGAGATGCTGACTGTCTGTCTCCTTCTCTTTCAGCCGTTCTTCCTCGTCCTGCTTCATTTTCTGCTGTCGCAGTAATTCCTTCTCTTCGTCCAGTCTCTTGTGGAGAAGGAGAAGCTCTTTTCTCTCAGCCTCCAATTTCTCTTCTGCGATTTGCAACATCCTTTCCACGTCTGGAGTCTCATTTTCTCTCCTTCCTGCCGGCTCTCGAGGCTCTGGATTCGGCTCTTTGGTTGGTCGGGCCCTGCTACTCGCTCTCTCCATGCTTTCCTCGCTAGGATCCAACATGACTGGAGAGTTCTCAGCAACACCCTTAGAGAGTCCAGCAGTGTGGCTCTTAAAAGGTTTGGATTTGTCATCTGACCCGAGAGGGCTGTGTGTTTGTGTGTGTTTGTGTCCTACTTTAGGATGATTCCCTTCGGTGCTGTTGAACCCATCTTCTCCCAACTTTTCCTTTGCTTCTACATCCACATTTCCCGCAGGGGGTCCTGCATTGTCTTTAGAAACCTCCTCATTCTTCGTCCCGACATTTTCTTGCGTCTCTGTTTGCTCTTCGGTCCCAAGAAATCTGGTGAAGTTATGATCCCAGTGCGGAGGAAAGAGAACTGTCTCCTCAGACCGAGTCGCGTCTTCTCTTGCAAGACTGTAGCCTTCTCCTGGCTGAGGGAAGCCGTCTCCTCTGGGATCCCAGTGCTGCCCCAGGAGGTGCTCCAGATGAGCCCTCTGGTTCGGTTTCAGCTCATCCAGCTGGTGGAGTTCATCTTTGGAGTGGACCTTCACCTTAACAGCAAAATAAAAGCGTTTAGTGGTTGTTGGAGCTCATAAAACAAGTAGACGGAGATCATTCATTGCTTTTATCCAACATTTGTCTAATTGCATTTGGTTATACTTTGCAAATATGCATGCAACTAAAAGGCGTTAGTTGCTTAATGGGTTTGCTAGCATCTGTGTACACAGACAGAAACCCAAGTATTTACCTCCATCTGCCGGATATTATGACACAAGTCATAATGTAGCTCATTTCTTTGGTCAGAAAGTGACTGACAATAACAGTCTAGGTTATGAAAACTACTACGACTACTGAGTGAAAAGTATTAAGTTAGTTATTTTCAGTGTGAGGCGTCAGAAGAAGAATAAAACCTGTCGGAAACGTCTGGGTAGTATTTTATTTTCTCATGTTGGTTGTTGATTCAGGCAACAAATTACAGCAAAGTGTTTAGAAATTATAGAGTTTAAGTGGCATTTATTTATCAATAATAACAACTATACTAATTGTTCTCTGTCTGCTTATTTAACTTATTTAAACTTTTATATTTTTGAGTAAATTTGCATTGTTTTTTTGTCTGACAGACCGGGCAGTATGGATACAATCTGTCTTGTAAGAGAGATATTCACAAATTACTTTCAATTATGTTTCATTTTAAAGCATCTGTGTCTGAAAAGTGAGAAATGTTTAATGATTTTAGAGAAGTAACAAAGAGAAGCAGTTCTAAATCACAAACTATTGTTGTGTCATTTGGGGCTCTTTGAGAAAAATATGAACATTGGCAAGTAAAAGATTTTGACTGATCATTTCTAGTTTTCTGCCACTTTTTGCAAATTAATCCCGCCCAGCACCTGATCACCATAGTCTCTAACAGTAGGAGGTTTCTCTACCAATAGGAAAAACCTGTCAAGAAATCCAACAAAAGGCCTTTTATTATCATTACAGTGCCACAACAAGACTAGTCTGCCTTTTAGCTACCTCTATTCATGTGTTCTTGCACAATGAAGCTGCCAAAGCAGAACCAGCTAGTGACAGTAGCACTGCTGGTGACAATGGGCCACGGCTCACTTCGACCCCCCACTGGATGCCTACTCACCGGCTCAACTGTGTCACAACCTTTCTAGGTGTAAAAGTCAAACTCCACCCTCTAGGCTGCCTCTTCTTCACATGAATCACACAGAGGTGGTAGGAGGAAAACTCAGGCCTCAGTGATTTGTCAGAAAAGAGTGTTTACCTGACACGTCGAGTCGCAGGATAAGCGTCATATCTGCTGGAAGCAAACCCAATCTAAGACCAGACTCTGTTAGCATGAAGGATCTCGTGCTAACACCAGATGTTGTTTGTCAATGCCCTCAGGTGTTAAGAGTTTACTCAGCAGGGCAGTGAAACTGATTGATGTATTCTGTAGCCTCGTTATTAAGGTGAAACCGTTTCTCTGGACGAACACGCAGAGTAAAATTCGTACCTGTCCTTGCGCCGGTCCCGGGCCAAGGGTCTGGTTTCGATGCAGGTGGCTGTGCAGTCTGTGAGAGGATTTCTTCTTGAGCACAGCGGGGCGCGGGGCAGGCTGACATCTGCACTCCACGTGATCCACGACCGACACCACAGCCTTCGCATAAGTGGGTCTTTTGTTGATGTACTCGATCTTCATGACCTGGAGAGGTGGAGAAGAAGACAGGAGTCACTGGGAGGTACTCTGAGTTTAAGAAAAAAAGAGAAAAAACGATTTGTGGGGACGCTAGGACATGGATATATAAATGTATGCCTTTTTGTACTCAAAAACGAGCCGCTGCCAGGCAACAAATGGAGGTTATTTAACCTGAGCTGCAATTTTCTGTTGCTTCTCAGAGTGAACTACTTGAAAAGCACAGAGAAATAAATTGCGGAGCAATTTTTTTTTTTTACATTTTATGCATGACTAGCCTCATCAGTGATTGGTTAGCTGTATACTAAAACTCTTATTTTTTTTCCAGTCAGTGAATGCAACATGTAATTGGAAAACAACACTCTTTCATGTGGAAGTTGTTACCGAAGGAAGATGACTCAAACTGAGATAATTTCAATTTAGTCAGGCGATCTTTAAGAAAATTTCTGTTATAGTTTTTTTTTGTATACAATTAGACAATTTTTAAATGTCTAATTGTATATAAAGCCTTTGTAACTTTTTACAAAACATCTTTGTAAAAAAGTTACAAAAATGTTTTGCTAAGAATTACAATTCTTATTCTCAATTACTTTCAGATAAGCTCAAAATTTGAGCTCTAGAGGGCGTTAAAGAAAGAAAGCTTTCCAAAAACCTGCTGAAATCTGCAAAAAGCAATTATGAAACAGCAATTGTAATTGCTCCAGTGCTGACCATTTTTTCTACTGATTATTAAAAAAGGCTGCATGCAATTTACAGCATGCCATAAACGTACGTGAATGTCACATTTTACAACAGAATGCTTCTTTCTCATTGTTTTATTATCTTTTGGGAGGTATCTGTCATTTCCTATCAGAAAGAAACGTCTTAAAGGGAAATAATAGAACACATCAGGCTGTTTGGGACAGGAATCATTTTGGGGGATTAACTCTTCCTATTTATAGATCATATAACCGAGCATGCTCATTTACCTGCAAGTATCTGGTGTGCGTGACAATGGGAACGCACTGCAGGCTCTTGGTGTTGCAGCAGCCAGAGCAGCGCTGGACTTCCACACACGGCGGCCACAGCAGAAAGTTGGCATTGCTGCGGTCCAACATGGCTCTGGTGACCTCGACTACTTCCGTGCGAACTTTACACTGAGCCTGCTGGGCGGGCTGAGCGTCTGAGGGAACAAACACGACACGCCGAAGGGTCAAGTTTGATGAGCCAGACAATGCGTACTTCTCTGCTTAACCTGAGCTGCAGGTCTGAGTTTTTCTGTTGTTAACACACAAGGACGTGTATTGCAAAGAAACACCGCCTAGGTTTTATTCAAAGATTAGCAAAGGCCAGTTGTAGATCACTGTCTGGAGAACAATGAGGACAAAAAGCTTAATGGGAAAAGATTTTCCCTCTGTCACAAAAACTATTAATCATCTTCCAGACAGACTGACAGAGAATTCTTTAGCCAACATAACGAGTTTCCTTATAGCAATGCAAAAATATATTTAAAACAAAAAGCGATCGCAACAAACCTCAACAACCAATTAAAGAGAGGTTTGTCTCACCGAGGCTCCGTGGAAGTCTGTGACCTCCGTTGGCTGCAGAGTTGGCTTCCTCCTCATCTGAGACGACGACACAAACATCATTTATCCCATTAGAAGAAGACAAAATAAAATGCCCACTGTGCACAGAAACCAGAGGTGGAGCATCACGGTACACTACAGCTGTAAAATGTCTTGGTTTGATGTTTTTCTTTCGTTGTCTTTAACCTTTACTTTACCATTTTAGTCCCACTGAGATCAAAGATCTGTTTAATGAGGAAGACATAAAACTTAATATAAAAGGTTTTATAGTTAAAACTCCTCCTCATAAGGAACGGGCAGAACCAACTGTGGTTTTTCCAGCTGTGTGGAGCGTAGAGTTAACATGGTGCTGCCCCTCCCCTACCCATTGCTGTGCACTGCCTGTAAGCAGGCTGAGAAAATAAATAAATTAAAAAAAAGGTAAGTTTGGAAACATTTCCAGTAATGGAAAACCTGGGAATCTTGCTGAGATCAAACTTTTTTTAAACTACAGTTAAGATGCAACAGATGTGGAACCACTGAGCAACTAATTAGCATCAGCTCAATGCAATCGTGTTTGTCTATAAGAAGCACAACAATGAGGTTTAACATCTCCCCGTTAACGATTCTGCTTTGTATCCATGAGTCGGCGCTCCGTTAATCTGTTATTTATGGAACCTCGACTATATTTAATCAACTCGAGTTAGAAGACAAATATTTTAAGTGAATCTACACTTTTGTGGCGACTGTGGTTGTGTGGCAGAGTTGTCGTCTTGCAATCGGAAGGTTGTAGGTTTGATTCCAGCTTCTTCCTGCCATATGTCAATGTGCCTCTGGGCAAGGCCCTTAACCCCAAATTGCCTACCGGTCTGCGTATCGGTGTGTGAATGGGTGAATGTGACTCTAGTGTAAAGCGCTTTGAGTGGTTGAAATGACTGGAAAAGCGCTATACAAGTTCAGTCCATTTGCCATTTTGCTGTGTGCTTTGAAAAATCAGAGCCAGTAAAGTTTCCAGAAATATGACAGGAGATGTGAAATGAGCATCACCCGACCGTTCACTTGTGTGTATTTCCATGTAATGTGCAAAAACTTCATAAAACATTTTCTTTTTGTGTAAAAATCTAAAAATAAATCACATTAAAAGGAGGGATCTCAAGAGATGCTGAAGTGCATTACTGGATTCAGATGCCAGATTACTGAAGTTTTGCTTCCACTTTAATCTTAAATTTGATTTTAAAACGATTTCACGTGTCTGTAAGATGGAAAAGAAAGAAAACAAAAGCTTTGGGTCTTTACCTACGGAGTCAGTGAGCAGCAGCAGCTGGAGGTCCTCAATGGAGTTGATGGGGCTGTTTCTAACCAGCTCCACCAGGGCTGCAGGCAGAGCGTCCTCCTAAGATACAAACAGAAACAAATCAGCCCAAATAACAAACACGATGACTAACGCAAAACCAGAAAAACAGACGTATTCAGAAGCTCACATGAGCATAAAATAAATAAAAAAATCAGCAGGAGATGGGTGGGGGGGGGACCGCAGCACTTCCGCGACTACGATCGTCTTTAAAAGCCTCTAACCAAATATTTCCAGAGTATCACACCAGAAACCACTGAACGGCTCCACTTTGTGATCCTAGAGATTTGACTGTGGGTTTAACCCCCCCTTAATGGACAAGAGACAGCCTGCAAGGGAGGGGGGAATCAACCAAAGCAGACACACAATGGTCACTAAGAGCAGGGTGAATGACTATTGGCGTTGTGTCCTCTCATCTGCTAACATTTAGGGGTCAAAGGAGCAGGCGAGGAGTCAGGAAGTGGGGGAAGGAGTGATACGGAGGGAGGATGAGAGAAGGGAGGTGCATCTGGATAAAAAAGGAAGACGATGGGGGGATAATAGATGAGCAAAAGAGGGGCTGAAATGGACGAGAATCAGTCAAGAATCTTAACTTTGGTTCAAATGGGGTTTTGGAGAGGTGAAGCTACTTTTAAACTGCGATTAAAGCTTCAATGAGTGCAGTCCTGAAAGTGTAACAGACTACGTTTCATTCAGAACATAATAAACCCCAGCAGCTAGCAGCCATCCATGCATGAACATGTACTCTCTCTTGTTCTCCCATCGACATCCACCCTCCTCCTGCCTCCATTATTGGTCGACTTCCCGGGGAGGCAGCGGGAGGAAATGCCCGCTGTATTCCACCCGCATCCCTTTCCACCGGCTCCACCGATGCCCCTGAGGACTCATCACGATTATTTCCCCCTCTCTGCCGACGGAGCGCGCCAGCCGGCCCGGCTAATTATGTCTGACGGTAATTACGGGGTGTGTGCCTTTTGTTGGCCGCGGTGCCTGCTGTCGCTGCAATTTGTGTCCAAGCAGGAAATATTAAATAAACACCTCGGGCTCTGGTAAACAAACAGATGCGGAAACACAAATTGTAAACACGCGCTAATTGTGGTGAGTGTGCAAATGGGGATAAATAAGACAGCAAATGTCAATGTCTGCTTTATAGGTAGATTTTATTTGGTGAGGCAATATTGTAAAACAGAATGTAACTGAGGAGGTTTATAGGCATCTTTCATTCATAATTGTATGAAAAAGATGTTTAGGATTTGCCCAGCACACCAGTGGTCAACTCTTTGTAACGCAACCTTTCACTAGACTTACCACTGTCTCTACAAGCTAAGCTCAACCCAAATATTCTCAACTATATTCTCAATTGGACTTAGTTTTGGACTTTGACTGGGCCATTCTTGCACATAAACATGTTTGGATCCGACCCCGAAACGACTAACTGCGCTCCTCCACAGCCGCTGTCAGTTTTCTGCATTTGCTCAAGTTCTGCAGAGGCCTTCATTGGATTCAGTCAACATCTAAAGATCCAATAAATCGCCTATAAAGCTACAAAATATCTGACAAAAATATGCATCCCGGTTCGTTTTTTGAACCAGGACAAAATGTGAAAAGATACGTCCAAAAGAAACCTTCAGATTAATAAGCAGTTTCTGTCAATCACATGGCATTCTTCTAAATTGTCCTTCCTTCCCACAAGACAAACTTTGTTCTTCTGCAGATCTGCAGCCGTCTAAGTCTAAAAAAAAACAAAACAAAAAAAACACCAATTTTGTCATAAACCAGTCGTTATCGCCTGAAGCGCCATCCCATCTCCCTGCAGACGCCCTGAGGAGTCCCAGGTACAAGCAGCGGCTGCAGCTCCAAAGGAGGAGGAGGGAGAACGTCTAATCGTAGATAATTATGGGGGTCGAATTTGCTGGCGGCAGCCACAGCACATGCTGAGGTTTCACACGCAGGCCCAGAGAGCGTGCCAACACGTGCGCGGCAGCACAGCGTGCAAACGATCGGCAGTCCAATTCATCCCGCTGTCACAGTTCAGTTTACCTCTGGGCTCGGGGAAGAAACCGGATGCCTGGCACAAGAACGTTTCTGAACATTTCAAACTTTTACCCTGAACACATAAAGATAATTGTCAAACTTTCTCTCTGAGTTGCAGAGCGCGCAGCGGCGTTTGTGTCCCAGCTGCGAATCCTTGATCTTTTAAAATTAGGCCCGGGGAATTCCTGGCTGTACACCTCAAAGCTTCTGCAACTTTCCCCCATAAAGCATTTTCAGATTTGAAATTCCCTTTCTGTGTGATGCCAGCCTAAAATGAGAAGACGGCTTGATGACAGGAAGCTGAAGTCATCCCTCACAGATCACACATTTACCTTTTTTTGTGAGGCTCTGGAAGCGATCTGTGTATGCATTTACATTCACCGTATGGATGCGCCTTTTATTTTTTTACACCAGGATGACAGCATGCATAGCGCCACCACCCATGACCGACTGGGTTGATTTGCACTATAGCCCAGTTTAGATTTGGAGGTCAGTGGCACAGGCTGATCGTTGTGGCGAGGACTCGCCTGGTTCAGATGAAATCTGCAAGCGGAAGCTGATAGAATCCAACCTCTTATCAGCAAAGAAATTTCTGCCTGTTTTTCCTTTTATTTCTGGTCAAGCCTCACTTGACCTACACAGGACCCCTGGTGTGGTTTGGATTTCCTGTTTGAACAGAGCTGACGGTCAGATTTCATCCATCTCTCTCTTTCTCTCTCTCTCTGATTGTTTCGTGGAGAAAACTTCATCTACAGATTAGTGCTGTAATGAAGCAACTGTTGAACGACAATGAAGACTAAAAGTTAAATAGGGCGACCTTTGACCTTGGCAGAAAGATGTCCCAGCTTGACGGTGCGACATCCGGATCAGATACACGCTTTGTGCTGATGGGACGCAAGTTGGGCGGCATCAACCAAACACAGAACCGGTTTGTTGGGTTAGAGGAGAAAAACAGAAACCTCCATTTTGAACTATGTAACAACCTGAACCTCCTTAGTAGGTGTGAAATGATCTTAAGATTTACATTCAATCAGTTTTAATGCAGGGAAACAGAAATAAAAATCTTGTCTTCTGAGCTGCAGGTGTGTGTTTTGTTTCCCCGCGCGTGGCGCAAACTTGCTCCACAAACCAGTCACAGTCACATCTTCTTCCTGTTGCACAGCTGACTACTGAATTAACCTGTTCTCCCAACACCTGTGTGGTCTTGTTCCTGGTACTACAGCTTCCCCAGGTCATCCAAAAACATGCACATTAGTTTAACTGCTGTCTCTTTATCTCTCTCTCAGGTGTGTATGGGTATAATTATTTATGCTCCGTGGTGCTCTACCTATTCACGCCCTCCCTACAATTAGTCAAGAAAAAAACTGGACTTCCAAATTGTAACCCAGGAGTTTGTTAGAGGCCTTGAACGCATCACGTCCAACCACGTGGAGGCAACAGCTTCAAGTCAAATTTCTCCCACATTTCGTGTTTTGGGTCTAAAGAGGAAAGTCAGGGGAGTTCTCTGTGCCAACAAAGCAAATAAATTATTAGAAGAGTATGTTGAAGCAGGTGCACTTATTCGACATGTCTTTTTCCATATAAACATACTAAAAAGGTAAGACGCAAAAAGTTTAGCCTATTTCGAGGTTGTTGCGGTGACAGGTACTAAAAGTTTAAGGCGTAGCCAAGTTTTAACAGGTGTCAGTGAACGTTTACCGGTGATTTTATTCCATATATATACATGTCTTACTTACCCCGTCCACGCCAAACCGCGCACACGCCGCCAGCCACGCGAGCAGCAGCAGCTGGACCCACGAGCTCATCTTGCTGCCCAGCCTCGAGCCTCTCCAACGGACCGGGCATTTATGGAGGCGCGAGCGAGCCTCTCTCCTCAGCTCGGCGCGCGGAGGGGAGGATGAGGATGAGGAGAAGGAGGAGGAGGAAGGGGACAGCGGCTCGGCTCGCGGAGCTGTGCGCGCCTGTGAGCTCCGAACCGCGGATGAAGACGAGCGAGAAGGCGCACCAACCTCTTCTGTCCTCCTCTTCAAAAAGTAAATCCTCGGCAATAACAAAGCTCCAGCTTTCTTTTCTTCTTTTTCTTCTTGTTTTCAACCCAATATGCGTCTCTTAAAGTCACCCGGGGTTCACCTTGCTCCGCGTTGTTTCGTGGGGAAAAAAATAATAAGCTGGTAATTAAACTGAAAACAAACAAACTGAGGAACGTTCCTATGCCAAAGGTCCAAACCTCACCAAGACGTGCGGATGAACATGAAATGTTTTTTTTTAAGTCTCCGCTTGTCAGTATGGCATTTTAGAAATAGCCTAAAGACACAAAAAGTTACAAAACCAACCTAAAGTCCATCCTCCATTAACCGTGATGCGTCTCAAAAATCCTGCTGTAAATTTACTGCGGCAGCTCGGAGTGGTAGTTTGCGTTCTTGTTCCAAGGAGTCTTATCAGAGAGCAAAGTGCTGTGCGGCTCCTGCCCTGGACCAGCCTGATTACGCGGCGGTGGTGCTGTTGCTGCTGCTGCTGTGAGGAAGGGCTGGTTCCCAGTGGACCCCAGTGCTCGACCTGCTCCTCTCTCTCCCGCCCCCTGCCTGAAGAAAAGGCCTTGCAGACCAGCGACGCCGCGGCTGACGCGCGGCGGTCGCCCTCCGTCTGAATTTATGCAAATGTTTGTGCGGCAAAAACGCCGAGTGTTTTTTTTTTTTTTTTGCTTTGTTTTTGTGCGCACGCGCTCGCTGTCCCGGTGACTTTAGCGCGTGCTACTTAAGATAAGCATAAATGGGAGTGTGTGTGTTATTTATACATTTAATGAGATGGAAAACAATATTCATTTGTCGAGTAATTTCCCTTTTTGTAGGGGAGATGTTTGACTTATTCCTGCTATTTTAAAGTTATTATAAAGTTATATTGTTTAGGGGGGATAAAATATGAAATCCTATTATCATATTTTTTTTACACACTTTTGTCTGTGAACGAAAAGCTGGTTTTATGATCTGGCGTCAGTATCAGGGACCAAATAAAATAGCAATGAACTATGGGAAATGAAGTCTTTTTTTGTTATTATTATTGAAATGTACAAACACCAGCAGTTCAATAACATATTTTAGAGCTAAAAACAAATCTAAAATTCCAGCTTAACATGTTTATTAATAGAAAAATTGAAAGCAATTTACTTTTTTTTTTTTTTTTTTACACAAAATAAAACCGGACAAACCTCAAAATGTGATTCTCAGGAGACGGAGTTGAATCCTTTTGGTTTATTAGATAAAATAAAAATTAAAAACAGCCAAATCTGACAAAGGATTTCAAGCGGTAGTGCATCCGTAACGTTTCAGCCCATTTTCACAATCCCTGTTGGAAATGCAGGAGAGTCGCTAAAGAAAATTGCCTCTTTTATTATTATTATTATTCTCTCCAGTCATATCACCTCCAGCCGACCTATCAGGACAGAGCAAGGTGTATCTAAATATCACAGGAGTTATTCTAGGAGTCCTGACCTTTGATGGTCTCTCATGTTTAGGGAACATTTCTGGACAATGCTTGGCTGCACAACGAAGGCCCAAAATTAGCAAATCAGCCAGACGATGTTACATTTTTAATGTTCGGAGACATTTTGTTGTTGTTTTTTTTTAATAAAAATGACTTAAGCGCGTTTCTAACTGAAGATTCAAAAACACCTGCAGCACCCATATGAAGTCAACATTATGGACTTATGTTCATTTTAGGCTTTCAGGTTTAGAGGCCTACTTTTCTTTTTTTTTTTAGCAGGAAGCGATGACACGCTTTCCATTTTTGTTTAAAGTGGAAAAATGGATGTAAAAGTTGAACTTTTCATGTCATATGCGGCTCAGGTATATTTGGCGAGAGGAAGAGTCAATCGCTCTACTTAATTCACACAATCCACATCCAATTATTAATCCAGCTTAATCCCGGCTGAATTTATGACTACTCCTCTCATCAGAAACTGCGGCACTTTGCCTCGATTGGTTGGCGTCTCGAGAGCAACTTCCAGCCTGCCTGACCTTCGCAGCCGCCCACGGACGGTGCTGTGGTCAGGCGAAGACAAAGTTTGCGCTATTCGTCCACAGGAAAGATTGTCTGGCGTAGTCAAGGTGTTGCCTTCGAACCAAAGAAAACCGCACCACCCGTCAAGCGGCATCGTGTCAAGTCGCTGGTGGGTTTTGAGGCATCGCCGTCCTGCAAAGGTCAAAGAAAAGCGGAGTGGGAGAGCTTCACCTCAAATCAACGATCAACAGCCGGAAGGTGAAGAGCAACGATCATCCTGCTCGCACACATTCAACATCTGGAATTGGTAAAACATTTTAAAATCAAACTAACTGAAAGGCCTCAGTGCCGCTTTGTAAAGCACGTTTACTGGGTATGCAGGTATTCAATACTGTGTATGTCGGAGGAGTGGGTGCGGGGGGTTGTCTCTGTGGCTAAAGGAAAATCCACAACAAATTAAAGCGGTCCACTCAGTTCTTGCTTTTCGAACAAGAAATGAAAACTTAACCCGCCACCTGCCAAAGGTGAATGTTCGGTGCATGCAAACCTGTGATCTGCTCTGCAGAAGGAATGTTCCAGCATGCCATTCTTCCAGTTTCACCGTAGCCCCGGCGAATAATAGGATGCCATTGTTTTTCTAACAAGACTGGATGGAGGAAACGGCATGAGCTGTGCGGCTATATTTACACCGCGTTTCATATTTGTACGCTCCGCCAAGGCCACTGGCAGTTTGCTGGCTGGGGATACTGTAGCGCCGCGCAGCACACAGGAAGTAGTGGTGACGTTAAGGGAAATGGTGACTGTAGCTGCTCATGAATATTTAAAAGTGGACCTAATTGCTTGCACACATTTTGATGCTTTAAGTTGGACTTTTTCATGCGACTTTAATGGATTGTTGTCATGTTTGTGTACGTCTTTAAGCTGCCAAACATGTCAAATCAGATCAAATTAAACTGCAGAATCGGCAAAGGGTGGATTGGATGAGACAGAGAGATGCAGATTTTGCTTCATGTTCAAACTGTGGCTGATTTATGACTGTGTGTTTGGTTTCTAAGGAGAGGAGAGAGGAGGAGGAAGAGGGAAGAGGATGATGAGGAGGAGGAGGAGGAGAAGGGGGGAACAGGTTCCCGACTGGAGGCAGGGTTTTTCCCTGCATTCATATCTCCCTGCCGTGGATTTTCCTTCAGCCCACCACACACACACACCTGCGACTGTAACATCCCACCACCATCCCAGTGAGAGAAAGACATCCATCAACCACTTTTTTTTTTTTCCCCTGACGACAATTTAATAAGAAACAGAGAAACATGTCGGAGGCACCTGTACCCCGAGCAAACACCTGAACTCCTGCGACCCGTCAGATCAAGTCCACGCTTGATCTGGATCTCATTAATTCAAGGAAATTAATGAGATCCCGACCTCGACTACTGCACGTCTCTACACACACACACACACACACACACACGCACTGTGCCCACGAAGAGCGAGGACAGAGGGCCCTCTATGTTAACAAACCGAGTGAGAAATGACAGCGCTCGCTCAAACATTTAGGAGCTTTTCAGAAGATCCGGTGAAGGTCACAGCACCCTGAACCAATCCTCCACTCCAACAATGGCGGCATTTGATTTCATCCCTCGTTTTTTTTTGTTTCTCCTCTTCCACTGAAAAGCTCCAGTGGTTAATTTGACGCAGCGATCGCATAGCTGAAGTCAACTCCCTCCCTCCATCTCCACCTCCACCCAGTGTCTGGTCATCTTTTTTTCTTTTTTGTTTTCCAGCTGAAGAACAGGAATCGACTCTGTTTGTGTCGCCGCGTGTCGGCCGAGATGCCGCTTGCTTGGTCAGGACGGGTCGTCCCCTCCAATTAGTCGCAGGGATAGTCTGTCTCAGAAGCGTGTCTCTGGGATCGACATGCAAAAAGCCATCGGTTGACCCCTTCCCAGGATGACCATTCCCTCCGGGTCTCAGGTTGCTCTGACACAAGAATGTGGCTGAATTAGGTCAGAAAATGAAGGAGAGTTCGATCATATGCAACGGCGTGTTGGGGAGTTTGAACATCAGCCAAAGGCTTTTGTACCAGCAGCCCTCAAACTCACCGTCTTGCACTGAACTGATGTATATCCTACCCATTTAAAGGGGCAGCATTGTGTAAAACCAACTTTTTGTGAGTTTTACACAATGTTATAATGTTGCTTCCTCATCAAAAACACACCTGGAATGTTGCCTTGATTCTTTCGAGTCTTCCGTGGCAACAATTCAGCTGTGCAAAACACTTGGCAGGAAGAGCGCCGCCTTCAAGGTTTTTACCGAGCTTCCACTTCACAGAGCTCTCCTCCTCTGCTGCTCAGCTCCTTCAGACTAGCCAGCAGCAATTAGCAAGCACCTGGAGGAACTGAGCATCAGCTGAGTTCATTATAGCATCTGCTTCTCAGGAAAAGGCTGGGAAAAGCGTTGCTAAAGGGTTAATTGAGAAGGGATGTTGTGATGGCTTCCTGAAAACAGAGTCAGAAAGAGCAGGAGTCCCTTAAAGCGACAGAGGCCCAATTTTAAGGCTCTAAATGACCAAGTAAAATGTCTTTTAAGTCATATATATATAGGTAACAGAATTAATTGATTGTGCAACAAAATGGCACCATGTGGCTGGAAAACACATAACGCTAAAGTCTTAAAATATAAATAAATAAGCGTCTCTTAAGCTAATTGAAATCAATGGCTGCATTAAGCTAACCTCTTTTCACATCAACGTAATACGGCGCGTTGATTTGATGGATAAAATAATAACTCGTAAAAACATTTCCAAGTCACTTTGGCAGTTTTAAGTCTAACACTTTCCACACCTGTTGAAAACCAGTTACACTGAAATTCTCCTCAGGTCCGTTTTCAAGCAAACCTGAGCCGAGAGTCAAGGCGCCTCAAAGACCCCCGGGGCCGCAGTGAGGCCCTGTGGACGGCAGCCAACCAATCAGCCCGATTCTTCATAACAAGTAAAACTCATCAATTCGCACAGAGCGCCATCATTTCTCTGCTTCACCGCACAGTTCCTTCACCTGCATTCTCTTCATCTGTCGGTATTTGCTTTGCAGACTTGCTCGATCTCTGCTGGATGGCCATTTGCTGGTCCAGACGTCGCGATGACACAGAGAGCGAGCGAGCGAGCGAGGACGGACCACACCGAGCTGCCGGCGTCTAAACACCTCGGTGAGGAATGCCATGGTTTTGTTCAGCTCCAGGAATCCGTACACAGCAGCATTCCTCCCCTCCCTATCCTGCTGTACAGGGGGACTGTGCTGCAGTGGCTCTAATGAAAACCACCGGCTTACTGTACTCAACCGCAACGTATAATTAATAACACTGCACACACGCGAAAAAAAAGTGCCTTTCTTTACCTGAGCTCTGAGTTTGTTGGTTTTTCTTCCAGTTGATCTAACAGTTTGTGCCAGCTTTGGTTTTCTGATTTTATACACGCATTAGCAACAGTGCTCGACTCTAGAGCTGGCATTAGCACTGCAGCAAAGCTGGCTGCTGCAGGAAGTCAGAAAAGTCACAGTTTTAAGCTTCCGTGAGGGATTGCTTCAGAAGTAGCAGGATTATTTGCTAACCACTTACATCATTGATTTCAACAACTGTTCACAGGACTGTGGTTGCA